GCCAGGAGCCCCACGGAGACAATGAAAGCCAACTGCAGAAGGGAGGTCAGGAGAATCAGAGCCAGCATCGCCGGGGGCCGCACGATAAAACTCTTCTGAGAAGACTCCGCCAGAACGCTGAACACCAGGTGGGTAATAGCTAAGACCTGGATGAAAGGTTAAGGTGGTAAATTGAGTGGATATTGAGGCTTAACAGATTGATTGATACTGACCATTGCTAAAATGCTCATGAAGACCATTGCTTGTTTGAGGTTTACACCGTCGAAGAAGTATATGAGGGCTGCTGGGTTGAAAAGATTGACAACCTGTGGAATAAGTACAATGTTGGTGCAGAGCATTATAACGATAGAAACTATTGCAAGTTATGCAAAAATAAAAAAATCTAAAATTTTATACAAATATTCGTATTCTATTCAAAACGACCTTTCAAACGATACCCCACATGCCATACAAACATTATCTAAAATTTTTGAAGTAAAACTTCTTTACATCCCATTACAACAAATTCATGAAAGCTGATAAATAATAATAGTTCTATTTAAATTCAAAATTCTATACAAATATTCGTATTCTACTCAAAACGACCTTTCAAACGATACCCCACATGCCATATACACATCATCCAAAATTTTTGAAGTAAAACTTCTTTATATCCCATTACATCAAATCCCATTACAACAAATTCATGAAAAGTGATAAATAATAATATTTATCACGTTTTTATATATATAACATTAAATTATACTCCTTAAGTCTATTCAAATGATACCCCACATGGCATAAAAATACGATCTAAATTTTTTGAAGTGAAACTTCTTTAGACTCGTTCACTACAAATTTATAAAAAAAGCAACCAAAGAGCGTAGTTACGATAAATATTCTTTTTTTTAGAAGTTTTACGTCCCACTCCTTTTAATTTTTTTTTTGCAAAAAAAAATTACAATTTAATACTGCTTGCAATTAAACTATGGTGATATTTATCTATACGAATATAAAAATCGTATTCTACTCTTTGAGACTTCTCAAATAATATCCCACAAGCTGAAAAAGATACAACTTAAAATTTTTGAAGTTAAACTTCATCACACTTAAATTTAATATTAACTTTATAGTATTAGAAACGATTGCAGGTTATCAATTAAGATATTCAAAATTTTATAAAAATATTTGTATTCTATTCAAAACGACCTTTCAAACGATACCCCACATGCCCTATATATATTATCTAATTTTTTTGAAGTAAAACTTCTTTACATCCCATTACAACAAATTCCTGAAAGGTGATAATTAATAATATTTATCACGTTTTTATATATAACATCAAATTATACTTTTCAAGTCCTTCCAAATGATACCCCACATGCCATAAAATTTCGATCTAATTTTTTTGAAGTGAAACTTCTATAGACTCGTTCACTACAAATTTATAAAAAAAGCAACCAAAGAGCCTAGTCAAATATTCTTCATTATTTTATTAATTTTATTATTTTATATAAAAGTTTTACGTCTCACTTTTTTAATTTTATTTGCAATATAAATTAATAATTTAATACTTTTTGCAATTAAAATATGCTGATATTTATCTCGCTTTTATTCATTTTTTATGAAAATCGTATTCTACTCTTTGAGACCTTTCAAACAATACCCCACAAGCTGTGAAAGATACAGCTTAAAATTTTTGAAGTAAAACTTCTTTACACTTGAATTTTAATTTTTTCTTGACTCCCCGTAGGTGATACGTGGTAGTATTCAAAATTACATTCCCCCTCGCCACACATTACGAGTATTTTTAGTTACGAGAAAAAAATATAAAATTTTAGATTTTTTTTTGAAAATGCCTTGATTTTTTTAAAAAACTTTAGGTAAAAAATAAATACACGTGATATCTTGTGATATTTTGTGATTTTTTTTGAAACCCCCCTTCCCCTCACGTGATTAATAGACGCCCCCCCTATTCAATTTTGTATAAATTGCCAAACACACTTATAATATTCGACAAATAGTTTGAACATTACGAATTATTTAACTAAGGGGGCGTCCATTAATCACGTGATCGAATTTGGATCCCCTTCCCCCTCAGTGATATTCAAAATAACTTTCCCCCTCCTCCTCATCAAACTGAACGTATAATTTTTTTTTTAATGTTTGGATTTTTTAAAAAACTTCAGGTAAAAAATAAATCCACTTGATATCTTACTATACCCCTCCCTCCCCCACGTGATATTTTGTGATTTTTTGTTAAACCCCCCCACTCCTCTTAAAAACCTCATATGATTAATTGACGCCCCCTAAGCAAATATTTAAGTATTTTGAGAAGATTTGTACAAAATTGAATAATTCGCAATAGTTTTTTACATTATAAGCGCAACTTGCCTTAATTAGTGCCACTTACACTTAGTTTTCTTCATAATAAATAAAACTAATTAAACACATTTTAATCGAGTCATTATAGCAAGTTCACCTCGGAATTCGAGATACCCAGCTGTAAGTCTGTAAATACTTGTATATTGACACCCTAAAAGTTGTCTCAAAACCTACATATGGTAGGGTAATAATTAATAGTCCAGTCATTATAGTAAGTTCACCTCGGAATTCGAGATACCCAGCTGTAAGTCTGTAAATCCTTTAATTTTGCACCCTAAAAGTTGTCTCAAAACCTACATACGTTAGGGTAATAATTAACAGTACAGTCATTATAGTAAGTTCACCTCGGAATTCGAGATACCCAGCTGTAAGTCTGTAAATACTTGTATATTGACACCCTAAAAGTTGTCTCAAAACCTACATATGGTAGGGTAATAATTAATAGTCCAGTCATTATAGTAAGTTCACCTCGGAATTCGAGATACCCAGCTGTAAGTCTGTAAATACTTGTATTTTGCACCCTAAAAGTTGTCTCAAAACCTACATATGGTAGGGTATTAACTATTTGTCGATTTGTTTTTATAAAAAAGGGGATTTTAAATATAATTTTTTTTTTTTTTTACTTACTTCTGGTATCATGTCAAGTCCTAAGCACATTGTGACGACAAAAGTTATGGCACAAATCAGTGTCAAAATGGTCAGCACCAGCACAACCATTGGCACGGCAGCCATGGCTGCTACTTAATTCGTCTTTTCAAACACTATTTAACAAAATATTTACAGCTTTTCAAAAAACAAGTCAAAAATTATTAATCACTTGATGTTACAATCTTTTGTTTTCCGTCATTTTGATGATGGAAAACAATTGATGATAAATGGAAAATAATATTGTGTCGTTGGGGTGGGTCAAAATAGATGGAGCCAAAAAAATACTTAAGGACATATCACCCTAGACAATATTAGAATTTAATGAATTCATATCACTATATGGGTCAGGATATGGGTCCATTATGGGTCATTTCAAAAAACCAAAGTTTGGAAAGTGAATTTCTCAAAAAGCCAAAATTTTAATGAATGTTTATCACAATATGGGTCCATTATGGGTCATTTCAAGAAACCAAAATTTGGAAAGTGAGTTTCTCAAAAAGCCAAAATTTTAATAAATGCTTATCACAATATGGGTTTATTATGGGTCACAATATGGGTCCATTATGGGTCACAATATGGGTCCATTATGGGTCATTTCAAAAAACCAAAGTTTGGAAAGTGAATTTCTCAAAAAGCCAAAATTTTTATGAATGCTTATCACAATATGGGTTCATTATGGGTCCATTAGGGGTCATTTAAAAAAACCATAGCCCGGAAAGTAAATTTCTCAAAAAGCCAAAATTTCATATTTTTTTAAAATTAAATGTGCTTAGGAATTGTATTAAAACTAGGTGTAAGTGGCTTCTTGTCTTAAGGCAATTTGCTTGAATTTCCACACATGTATAAATAATCGACTTAAACAATAATAATTGAGATTAAACTATTTAGATAAAATTTTCAACTATTTATTACGAAAATAAGGTTTTCACTTCAACTAAAAAAAAAATCTATGCGATTTCTGATTGATGTCTTTCAAACAAACTTATATATGTATATTAGGGGTGGTCCAGGACATTTTCCAAACATTAAAAAAAAGATCCAAACATTCAAAAAAAAAATCCAAACATTTAAGTGGGGCGAACTTTTTAAACTGGGAAGGAATGATTGAATCTTTTTGAACTTTTTTAGGGTTATTTATTATATATTAAAATACACAAAAAATTTTTTTTTTTAATTTTTTTTTTTAAATGGCTGCCGTAAAAATAAATCTGCCAAGACCCTCTCGGAAAACGCCATCAATTTGCGGGCGTTCTCACTTTTCGTACGGTGATCTGAATTTAAAAAAATTAGTTTGTACGTGTTCATAAAACATATATCTTCTAGTTAAACCAAAAAAAAATTAAAAAAGTCACAAAATCGTAAATTGGCACACCTTAGAAAAAAAAGTTCGATTTTTCACCTTTTTTTCAATGTTTTTTTTTGGTAAAAGGGTTAATTTTTGATGATTTTTTTGGAATGTTTGAGGTTTAACTAGAAGCTATTACTATAAAGTAGATGTGTGCAAAATTTCATTGGAATCGGTTGAGAACTTTTTGAGTTATCGCGCCCGCAAATTTCAAAAATGTCGTTTTGAGAAAAACGCGTTTAAAGTTTTGACACAGAAACAGATAAGAGTACAATAGCACTCAAGCGTCGAGTTGAGGCGTGGCACTTAAATGAGTTTTTATTGTATAAATAATGATAATTTTGTTTGAATATTTACAGGCATATTTTTGAGATGTTATTGTAACGATTATGAAAAAAAAAACGATTTTTTTTTTTGTTACATGTATCGCTCCCTTAAAAAAAATTTTAAAAACTATTTTTAATTAAATACTAAAACTAGAAATACATGGGATGTTTAGTGAGCAGGGGGGGGGGTAATTTTATAAGGTAAGGTCCAAAATCTTCTCTCCTCTCTTTATCCTTGATATCGTAAAGAGGGATTTTTTACAAATCAAATACAATTTAAGAACTCAATTACCTCTAACTATATTTAGTGCACTAAACTTACAATATAAATATGTTAAAATAAGTTTTACAGAATAGTATTGCAACATAATGATATATACATATAAATTACTTATAAAAAATTATAAATTCATAATTTCATTTTCAATTTTTCTTAATTAAATACTCAAACATTGCCCTATTCGTTTCAGCTAATTGTTCAACAGCCGATGCAAATCTACTCATTTCATTCCCAATTTGGGTAATGGCAGCTATCTGTTTTTCCATGAGTTCCTCTATCGATTTTACAGCAAACTGTACATCACCTAAAAGGTATAAAGGATTGAAAATCAAAATAAAAAACAGTGAAATGGAAATGATAATGGTAAGTGATTTTAGTAAAATATCATTTCTTTAACAATTAAATTATGAATTGTTATTTGACACTTATGATAGGATGGATTGTGATAACTAAAGGAAGATACGCAATGTTTGAGTTCTAATATTTCAGAACATGTGTTAATGGTGATTACCAATAAATTTAGACTTTTTTTTTTCGAACAATCTACAACACTTTCAAACTACTTTCATCATTTTCGAACAATTTAAAACCTTTCCTTAGCTTACAACACTTTCAGATCTAACAACACTCCCAGGCAGCTTACAACATTTACAGACAGCTTGCCACAATTTCAGACAACATTTAAGACATCCTACAACACTCTCAGACAGTTTACAACATTTCCAGACAGTGTACAACACTTTCAATCTACAACATTCTCAGATATTTTGCACCAATATTATCAGGCAGCTTACAACATTTTCAGCAGTTTACAATATTTCCAGATAGTTTACAACCTTTTTAGACATTCTAAGACATTCTCAGACATTTCCAGACCGCTTTCGACAGTTTCAGACATCCTACAACACTTTCAGATGCCCTAGAACATTCTCAGGCAGCTTATAACATTTCCAGACAATCAACACTTTTAAACATTCTAAAACATCATCAGGCAGTTTACTATATTTCCAGACTGCTTACAAGACTTTCAGTCATCCTGCAACATTTTCAGACAGTTTACAGCATTTCCAGACAGTTTAGAATATTCTCAGACAGTGTACAACTTTCTCATACAGTTTACAATATTTCCAAACAGCTTACAACATTTTCAGACATCCTGCAGAACTTTCAGACATCCTACAACATTCTTAGGCAGTTTACAAAATTTCCAGACATTCTACAACACTTTCAAACATCCTAAATCACAACATTTCAAACAGTTTACAACACTTTCAGACAACATATCCAGGCAGCTTTCAGACATCCTACAACATTCTCAGAAAGCTTACAACATATGCTAATACATTTCAGATATATCAACACAGCTTATAACACTTTCAGATATCCTACAACATTTCCAGACATTCTACAACACTTACAAACATTCTAAAATATTCTCAGGTAATTTACAACATTTCCAGACATTCTACAACACTTTCAAACATCCTGAAAGATTCTCAGATAGTTTACAACATTTCGAGACAGCTTACAACACTTTCAGACATCTTATAACATTCTCAGGTAGCTTACAACATATTCAGACAATATTTACAGATAGCTTACAACACTTTCAGACATCCTACAACATTTTCAGACATTCTACAACACTTTCAAACATTCTAAAACATTCTCTGGTTGTTTACAACATTTTCAGACAGCTTACAACACTTTCACACAATCTGCATCATGCTCAGGCAGCTTACAAAACTTTCAGACATGCTTTACTTATTCATATTATTATTAGATTAATCTTATCTTAGATTCATATCATTATTAGAAAACAGTTTACAATATTGTCAGACAGCGTACAACATTTCTAACCAATCGATAACATTCTCAAAAAGCTTACAACATTCTCAGACAACCTACGTCATTTTGAGACAGCATACAACATTTTTAATCAATCTACAACATTTTCAGAGAGCTTACAACATTCTTAGACAACCTATGACATTTTCAGTCAATTAGCATACAACATTTTTATTTAATCTACAACATTTTCGGAGAGCTTACATTATTCTTAGAGAACCTACGACATTTTCAGTCAATGTACAACATTTTGCAACATTCTCAGATAGCTTACTACATTCTCAGACAACCTACGACATTTTCAGACAGAGTACAACATTTTTAATCAATCTACAACATTCTCAGAGAGCTTACAACCTTCTTAGACAACCTACGACATTTTCAGTCAATGTACAACATTTTGCAACATCCTTGGACAACCTACGACATTATCAAATAGCTTAGAACATTCTCAGACAACCTAAGACACTCTCAGACAATCCACAACACTTTCAGACATTTTAAGACAATTAGATAACTTAAACCTTTTCAAGAATTTTTTCATAGTACTATTAAATATTTATCACAACATTAGAAGTTTCACTTCAAAACACACACACACACACACACATATATATATATATATATATATATATATATATATATAATATATATATATATAAATTGTGTGTTTATTATATATATATTATGAAACAAACCATCATGTTTCTTTTTCCGTGCGGATTGAGAAAGATTCTGTTCAGCCTCTGTATGCGAGTGCAATCTGCCGTTAAAATTTGCTATTTGTGTTGGAACTTCATTAACATTCGACGGCTGTGGTAAAACCTCCTCGTTGTTACAAGGAGTCTCCACAGTTGGTACTGGAACTTCCATTGGAGAATCGTTCGCTTTCTCTTCTTCAGGACAATCAGTTATGACTTCTAATGGAAGTTGAATTTCATCAGGAACAGACTCAGGCTGCAATGGGAAAGCCTCTACTGGCTTGCCTTCAATTGCCTGAAAAAAAATGTTGTAAATGTTTTGGTAAATTTAAAATATATTAATCCTACACTCAGTTTACAATATTTCCAGACATTCTACAACACTTCCAAACATTCTAAAACATTCTGAAGCAGTTTACAACATTTCCAGACAGCTTACAACACTTTTAGACATTTTAGAACACTTTCAGATATTCTACAACACTTTTAGACATCCTACAACATTCTTAGGCATCTTATAACATTTCCCGACAGTTCACAACATTTTCAGATAGCTTATAACACTTTCAGACATTCTAAACATTTTCAAACATTCTGAGGCATCTTACAACATTTCCAGACAGCTTACAACATTTTCAGACATCCTACAACATTCTTAGGCATCTCACAACATTTCCAGACAGTTTAGACAACCTACAACATTGTTAGGTATTTTACAACATTTCCAAACAGATTACAACTCTTTCATAATCCTATAACATTTCCAGGAGGCCTACAACATTTTCAGATAGCTTACAATACTTTCGGACATCCTACAACATTCTTAGGCATCTCACAACATTTCCAGACAGTTTACAACACTTTCAGATAACTTACAATACTTTTGGACATCCTACAAGATTTCCAACCATTCTAAAACACTCTCATGCAGTTTACAACATTTTCAGACAGCTTACAACATTCTTAGACATCTTACAATATTTTCAGACATCCTACAACATTCTTAGGCATCCTACAACATTCTTACACATCTTACAACATTTCCAGACATCCTACAACATTCTTAGGCATCTTACAACATTTTCAGACAGCTTACAACACTTTTAGACATCCTACAACATTCTTAGGCAGCTTGCAACATTCTTACGCATTTTAAAACATTTCCAGACAGTTTACAAAATTCTTAGAAAGTTTGAAACATTTTGAGACAGTTTACGACATTTTCAGTATATGACACTCTCAAACAATGTACAATATTTTCAGACATTCTACAACATTGTAGGATGCTTACAACATTTTCAAAAGGTTTGCAACATTTCCAATAAGTTCACAACATTTCCAGATAGCTTACAACATTTTCAGACATCCTACAACATTCTTAGACATCCTAATACATTTCCAGACACCTTACAACACTTTCAGACATCCTACAACATTCTTAGGCATCTTACAATATTTCTAGACAGCTTACAACATTTTCATATGTCCTAGAACATTTTCAGAGAGTTTACAATATTTTCAGATAGCTTACAACATTTTCGGACATCCTACAATATTCTTAGGCATCTTACAAAATTTCCAAACAGCTTAAGACACTTTTCAGACATCCTACAACATTCTTAGGCATCTTACAAAATTGCCAAACAGCTTACGACACTTTTCAGACATCCTACAACATTCTTAGGCATCTTACAACATTTCTAGACAACCTACAACATTCTTAAGCATCTTACAGCATTCTTAGGCATCTTACAACATTTCCAGACAGCTTGCAACATTTCCAGAGATCCTACAACATTCTTAGGCATCTTACAACATTTCCAGACATCTTACAACATTTCCAAACAGCTTACATTTTCATATATCCTACAACATTTCCAGACATCTTACAACATTTCCAGACATCCTACAATATTTTTAGGCATCTTACAACATTTCCAGATATGCCATAACATTCTTAGGCATTTTTAAATTTCTTTAAACTTAAAATACAAATAAAATTCTTACATATGAACTAGAACCCCACAATTGCAACGCTTTCATTTCTGCAACTGTAAGAGTATTTCTATAACTGCCCGTAGCTAACCCTTGAGTCCTCTGTCTCCTAGCTTTGGCTTTCGTCTGGTTCCTCCAACTGCCAAATATCTATCCAAAAATAAAACATTAAATTAAATTCAACAAAATTTCACTTACAACTCACTTTCATCCAACACTCTTTCGTCCTTTTGGGGCCATGTCCACAAGTGTTTAATAAATTAGTTAGTTCCTTCCATTTGCGCTGAAAGTAATCTTTGTGCATTCCAGGAGGGTTTACTGCAAATGGTTTGTTTTGTATCAGAAAGTTCACGTAAAGTTCATATTGACGTCTATGGGTTTTGGGGGCACGCTTTATCACCTCTTTATTATCATTAACCTAGATGAAAGACACATGAAGCCCTGGAATTATATGTATTTGATTTATACTACTAACCAGTCTTCGTTTGATTTCTTCTTCTATTGTTACATCAGTAGCATGATTGCTTTCACCAAAATCTACGTCCTGGGAGTCTTCATTTTCTGTACTGTCGGAGTCATAAAATTCTTCTTTTATGTAAATATCTTCAAGTGGGTGCTCTTGTACTTCTTGCCTAATGGCTTGAGACATGCTAGGTGATTGTTACCTATAAATTTACTTAATTATAAATATAGACTATTATAATTGACTTGTCATATATATGAAATTTAAATTAATTATTTAATAGTTCATGATTTTAAACTATTTTTGGTTGATTTATGATATTTTAAATGCAAAATAAATAATGTTTTCTCTACAAACAATTCTGACATTTTGTCTTTTGACAGTCAAAGATGGCGGATAGATAACTCCCTAGATAATATAATAATAATGGATAACACCCTAGACAATATAATAATAATGGATAACAATAAAAAAGTGATAAAGATAATATTATTATATATTGTTGTTGTGATAAATATTTTATTAATCAATTATATTAATATATAATTAATTATCGTTAATTTTAATTACATATTTATTGTATTTGGTGTATTTAGAGTTAATTTTATTTTTTATTCTTGTGCCGCCATTTTGTTTTCAAATATTCAAAGATTTTATTTTTATAAAATATTTAAAGATATCTATCCACGATTTTATTTTCATGAAATATTCAAAGATATCTATCCACGGATTTTATTTTTATGAAATATTCAAAGATATCTATCCACGGATTTGATTTTTATGAAATATTCAAAGAGATCTGTCTCCAGATTTGATTTTTGAAATATTCAAAGATATCTATCTCCAGATGTGATTTTTATGAAATATTCAAAGATATCTATCCACGGATTTTATTTTCATGAAATATTCAAAGATATCTATCAACGGATTTTATTTTCATGAAATATTCAAAGATATCTATCCACGGATTTTATTTTTATGAAATATTCAAAGATATCTATCCACGGATTCTATTTTTATGAAATATTCAAAGATATCTATTCACGGATTTTATTTTTATGAAATATTCCAAGATATCTATCCACGGATTTTATTTTCATGAAATATTCAAATATATCTATCTACAGATTTTATTTTTATGAAATATTCATAGATATCTAAAATAAAATAGCGAAAACTTTGTTGAAAATCCGTCTATATCTTTGAATATTTTATAAAATCTAGTGAAGCGCATGGCATCGTGCCTTGAGGCAAATTGCTGGAACTTCTCGTACCAAAATTTTTTTTTTAAAAAGGATTAACATTTTTGAAAAAGAAATACTGTGATAAAATTAGATTTTTGAGAAACTATAAATTTTTGACAAAATTTTGCTTTTTTTTAAACAAAAAAGACTTTTTAAAAAATAATTGTCTTTATTTTGAAATATTTTGGAAATTCTGAACTTTTTTTCAAAGAAATCGTACCGCTTTAACTGCATAGAGACGAAATATCGAAGCGCGTAAGCGCCACGTTGCCGTCTAACGGATAAACATTGGTACGGAACCCATAGGAATATAAATACAATTTATACTTATTGTTAAAATCTCTATAAAATATCTGATAATTTGATGTGCATATGTCTAATGATCATTTTTGACCACCAAATTGCATTTTTTTCTTTTTTCACTAGATCTCCGAAGCCGCTAGACCTGCCTTTATGAAAATTTAATTAGTTGTTTATCAATACAAGTAAAATGTTTTTCGAATTATTAAAATCGGATACTCCGTTCTCTTAAAAACTGAGTTACCGTGGCACTTTTTGCCTCGTATCTTCGAAACGGCTAGACCTGCCTATGCCAAAAACTAATCAGCACGTCTCCTTATCAACAGCAATCGAATGTTTTTTGAATAATTGAAATCGGTTGAACCGTGTTCTTGAAAACGTCGACGAAAATTTGTATCCGCACACACACACATACACACACATACATCCATTTTTTCTAAGGTATACCAAAATGTTCAGAAACCTCTGAAACGTAAAGATATCTATCCACGGATTTTATTTTCATGAAATATTCAAAGATATCTATCCACGGATTTTATTTTTATGAAATATTCAAAGATATCTATCCACGGATTCTGTTTTTATGAAATATTCAAAGATATCTATATCTATATATCTATATCACGATAAAGATATATATATCTATATCACGGATCTATAAAGGATTTCATTTTCGATTTTTTTGCGAATACTATAACTTACCCTACGGGAAGTCAATAAAAAGGCAAAAACTTTAAAAATCCGTGGATATCTTCGAATATTTAATAATAATCCATGATTAGAACTTGATATTTATTATATTCAATTTGAGTAAAATGAGTTTTAAAAAAAGCATGAATAGTAGTCCATAGTTTCAACTTGATATTTATCATATTCATGCTTTTTTTAAACATCTTTCACTCAATTTGAATATAATAAATATTAAGTTAAAACCTTAGGTATATACTCAGAATAATTTTTTATTCTTATTACAGGTGCTTATTACTTATAAGAATGTCTTACAAGAAACCATGAATCCTGGGTCTCCCCTATACTAGAGGAAAAATATAATCAACAGCTAATTGGAAAAAGTCTTTTTGATGCAAAAGACGAAATTATCCTGTTTGATGAGCTTTCAGGGCGTGTACCATTGCAAAACAACGAAATCTTTGATTTCAGCATCGAAATTGATTCGTTTTCGCGATTTTTAAAATGTTTTGACTGATTTTAATAGATTTGGTGACGCTGATTTAAAAAATGCTACCCGTTTTTTGGATAAAACCACATACCTCTGCGAAAAATTGAAATCTTTGGTTGCAAACATAATTTTTTTTTTAAAAAATCGAGTTTTTTTTTCGCGATTTTCAAAATGTTTTGACTGATTTCAAAAGATTTTGGAACGTTGATTTTAAAAATGTTATCCATTTTTGAATAAATCTACATACATCTGCGAAAAATCGAAATCTTTGCAAAATCAAAAATTTACTAATGAAATGAAAATTTTTCTTCGTGATTTTCTAAATATTTTGACCGATTCTTATAGTTTTCGAGTCGCTGATTCCGAATATGAAATCAGTTTTTGGAAAAAAAAAATCCTTCTACCCCTACGACTAACTTGAAGTTTGAAATATTGCCAACTTTGAAGCTGATTTTAACTATGAAGACGATGATAAATTTGTATTTTTTTTTATTTGGTATAAAGATTGTACTTTAGTCTACACAATACATTCATTAAAATTATTAATATCATTCATTAAGGGCCTTAAAATTGCATTTGAAAGTCACGGTTTTGGCCAATTTTGACTGCCCCTGAAAAACCGGTTTTATATGGAAAAGATAGTAAAAGTTGCAAATATTTTAGATTACACCAAGGTATGTTTGGTTTACTGCTAACCAGGCGCAAAGACAAATTTATTAAAAATCATTTCCACTACCAACTATTTATTAACTCATATATATATATATATATATATATATATATATAAAGCGAGAGGTTTTTTAATTATTGGATGGATGCCCAAGAAACAATTTTTATCATATATATATATATATATATATATATATATATATATATATATATATATATATATATATGAGTAAGTTCTTCAAGGGCATACATCAAATAACTTGTTTTTTTTATTATTATTTTGTTGAACAGAGCATAGCAAAATATTTGTGAAATATATAATATATTTTGCACAGAGAACGTAGTTTATGTGACCGAGCCCGAGACTGTAGTGAATAAAAAAAACAAGTTAGTGTATATATAATAGTGCAAAATTATGTGCCTTGCGCTAGCTACTGATGTAAGACCATATTTATATCCACTGATGATGACATAAAATACTATGTCGAAACGTTTGGAAAAATTAAAGATTAACTTCTAAATCTTTGCCTTTTACTTGATGTATTCCCTTGAAGAATTTACTAATATTTCTCAACATCAAAACTAACTTCTCTAACATATATATATATATATATATATATATATATATATATATATATATATGTGTAAATTTTTTAGCAGCCCAACAGTCGAATTAAAAAAGATTAAATAACAAAATTATTTATTCCATTATACGTTTCGACACTTGATGTGTGTCATCATTCAGTAATCAAACCAGGAAAAACAAAAAACATTAATTATGATGTGAAAATTGATATAAACACTAACTTTGTGTAAAATAAAAAAAAACTATTATTAACAAACGAGTTATAGGAGGAGCACATATTGCCCTCCTATATTTAAGTTAACATCAGAAAGTGTTGTTGTGTTGTGTTTCCTGGTTTGATTACTGAATGATGACACACATCAAGTGTCGAAACGTATAATGGAATAAATAATTTTGTTATTTAATCTTTTTTAATTCGACTGTTGGGCTGCTAAAAAATTTACAAATATGTATCAACGTCGACGAAACTTTCATCATATATATATATATATATATATATATATATATATATATATATATATATATATATTATGTCGATATTTGTAATACTGACACTCAATAAATTTAATTATTTATCTATACATCTTATTTATTTACACGGTTAGAAAAATTATTGAATTTATATCGTTTTTTTTTTCAGAAGAATTGGGGTTTGAACTAACAAACCTCGAACTGTTATTCTGGCCTAAACCGTACCTTTACGACCTCGGCCATTCAATGACTGGAAATGGCATGCTTTTAGTAAACTTATATCTTTTCATTTAAAAATAAGACTTTATATTTTTGCAAATAGAAGAGTGATCTTTGTAACCAATTGGCCGAGATCGTTAAGTTACCACTACGATTGCTCAGTGTTCATGGGTTCAAATCCCAAAGAGTCTTAAAAAATCAAGTTTCTAGTTTTTCACAATTATCAAATATTAGTTCAAAATATTAAATTCAGGTGGCGCATTTCGACCTTGACACTTAGAATATTTCTGAAAAACAAAAAACTTGACTTGGCTCGCACTTGACTGTAAGAGAAAGATGACCAAGGTAGCAGAAGAAAGGGGGAAAGAGAAGGGTAGAGGCAGATGATGAATAAGAGAGATGTGTGCGATACATATACTTTATTCAAATTCAATATTAATACATTATAAGAATATAAAAATAACTATTATCATCAATATAACAAATAGCCGAGTGGTTAAGGTGACCGCGTACTCGGTGACATCACTCTGGAGGCAGAAGGTGAGGGGGATCGAATCCAGCTGGAGGCGACGACGACCAACTCTGAAGGTGAAAAAATGGAGCAGTGCTGGTGGCTGGCTGTTGGCAGACGCGGAGGGTCCTGAAACGAACACACCAAGTGATGGTCAACCTGAGGTTCATGATGCGGGAGGTTACACACAGAGAGACACATTGCGGACGAGTCATGCCGAACCCAAAAATCTACCAAAAAACCACAACGTTCAAAAAAAACACCAAAAAATGAAAAAAAATGTGAAAAAAAGCGAAAAAAGAGGGTGAAGGAGGAGGAAAGGAGGAAGGAGGGGGAGGAGAGACCAAAAAAAAAAACCCCTAAGTCCCAGATCATTTTTTCTCTTTTCTGTTCAGCGTTGAAACTTTTTTATGTTTTTTAGTGTTCCCTCACACCAATTCCCAAAGCCAACACTCGAATGAAATAAGGTCCACTTTGAAATTTTAATTTTTGTTAAAAAAAAACTTAGTTCAAAAAACTTAGTTAAAATTTTTAAATATGCCCCAATAAAACTTTCTCGTCTTGAAATTTTCAATGTGGTTCTCATTCATTCATTCAAATGTTGGCTTCGGGTTGATATAGCATGCATAAATAACTCGTCTGTCATAATTGAAAAGGTTTCAGTAAATATGGACTTAAAAAAATTTATCGAAAGAATTATTTAATTAATATATGATATGATGTTAATGAAATTCAAGAAATGATCTTAATTGAATTAAAATTGTTCATATGATTTGATGTAAAAATACAAATGTTGACTTGAACAATAAACAAAGTATTGAAAAAAGCCATAAAAAAAATTTAACAAAATTTGTAAAATAAAATATTAAAAAATGTTCAAAAACTTGAAAATTAAAAATATCAAAACTGTTAAAAAGCTCATTGTTATCCTTTAGAAATTGAATTAGATCATTTTTAAAACTTGAATCAAATAATAAACTTAATTATTTACGTAAACAAAATTATGTTTTGTCTAATCATTCAAGTCAACTCTTCGAAACTTCGATTGCATGTCCTGATCAAAATTGTTTTTAGCAATAGAAGAATAAAAATCTATAATTTAGCTATCCAGCAATATAATCAAATAAATTTAAAATAAAATTACATTAAAAGACTTTTAAAAGCTGCATTTAATTGACACCTCGTAAAGTCATATTAAGTATGTAAATATTTTGATCAAAACCAACAATCGTGTTATCATTAATAAGAATGTACATGCAGTCAATATCGCTACAGGGAAAACACATGATTCTTGATACTAGAAATGTAATTCTAAAATTCTTTACCACAGAATAGCAAACAACATCAATAAAGCTTTGTAAAATAAAGAATTTTGTAAATATAAAGGTAAATAACTTTACTTCTATAGAATAAAATAAAAATCTCTGCCATGTGAGATATACTTGTTGTTAAAATGTTATCTGATATACAGATTCTTCAGAACTAGAGTTCTATCTAAAATACCATTAATTTAGGAATTGCACAAGGAGGGATGCCAGGGCCCATTCTGCATATAACTTACACAAATGATATTCAGGAAAAAGTGGCTCAACAAATAAATGAAACCAAATCAAGTCATATTACTTTTACAAGAACTCGGAAAAACTTTTTCTTTTAATTTATTATTTATGCAAGTATACCGAAAATAATAAATTAATGTCAACTAATATATACGAAAAGCAAAAACTATTGTATTAGATTGATTTTTGAAGTTGAAAACAAAAATGAATCAATATGTTTTCCCTGTAGTGAATTGTTTAAAAACATTTTTATGTATACAGAACATCACTTGCAAATTTAACAATTGAACAAATTGCGTCTAATATCAGATAGATATGCAAGTGATATTCGAAATTTTTGCACATACGTCTGCTAAAGTAGTACTTGAGATAAATTGTATTTTATTCGTGTTTAGATTTGCAAAAACAATGACAAAATATAGTTAAGCATAATATCATATCAAATATAAACATTTATTAAATAAATTACCTAATATATAAACTGTAATATAAATAGATTATAAAGAAATGAATTTTAGCTTTAGACATAAGCGTCTGTATCAATAATATTACTATGCAATTGTTTTAAATAAATAAATAAACATTTAGCAGATATATGTGCATAAAATACTAATGATGCATAATTATAAACTTTTTACTACATGGACTGCTAGTCGAGTGCAAAATAAGTGTGTAAAGATAGAAGGAACTGTGGAGTGGAACACTTGTGATTGATTAAATGTCATATGTTTTTTTTTCAATAATATCATAATAACTGACTGATGATTGATAATTTTGTAAGAAATTATATTAATAATATTCATCATGATAGTCATTAATTACAATTAGGTATAAGTATGTATGTATGTAAGCAAGCGTTCTGTGTATATATGTGTGTATAATAGTAATAAGTAAAACTATATAGATGTTTTAATGTAAGTCTGTTACATAAAATTTAGATTTATTTTTGTTATAATTGCTGTGATCTCTCATACCAGAACAATTGTCTGACTGAGATACAGTATGTATGAATTATATCAAATAAATAAATAAAGAAATAAAAATAAAGAGAAAGTAATTCAAATATTATCCGTTATAGTTTCATTTCAAAGATATAATGGCAATTGCTAATATCATTTCTTAAAAAACAATGGATGGATACTATGGAAAACATACGAATACTAGCAGTCCATGTAGTATAAGGTCTATGTGCACGAGTCAGCAAATATTTACTGAAATACATACAGGCTGTTTTGATAAATACAAATGCAAGAAATTATTTGTTATATGTTTTAGAACATTATTTGTTGTACAATAAATTCCTGTAGATGATTTCAGAAAAATATTCATTGACTCGTCGGTGTATAAAGTTTGCTTGGACTCACATTGACGCTTCCACATGCTGCATAGAATTAAATCCAAGTCTCCTCGTCAAAATAAATCCTCTGAAGCATCTGCCAGAAGGGCTTCTGAAGCTTAACATTAACATTTGTGAATCACTACATCACACTTCTTCGATCACTGACATTATAGACTTAATTTATAATTTGCAAATGTCCAAGTGGAGTCTTCGGGACTCAACACACGACACGACGAACAACAAAGCAACGAGCACATTAGAGAATTTTGTGACCTAGAATTTGACAAAATAAAGATACATCACAGAAGTACTTGCAGCCTTCTGAATCTTACATACTAGACATATTTGACAATTGCATATATGAATAAATATAAAGGATACATTGGAAGCTGTAAATAAAGTATTTGATTATACAATTAATTAGAATTAAAATTTTTGACAGAGATAGGTTAAGGCTGAAGTACTTCGTCACATATCTGCTTTAAAAATATATCATCATACACGAATTTTATATCAAATTGATGTGAATAATTAGTAGAACAATATAATGCATAAATTAATAACAACTAATTAGAAAAACAATTAAAAACACTAATTAATTAATTTGCACACATCTGTCACAAAATTTTCTATAAAAATGGCTGCCATCAAGAACGAACTGCCATGAAGTACGAAACTAATCAAAGTGACAAAGTCGAAGGCGCGAAATTCAAATTTTAAAACTAAAAATTTTAAATTCGCTTAATATTCTTTGTTCTTAAAGGTTACAATAATAAATAATTATGGTTATAAAACATCTGCATAGGCTATGTACTTTAAAAACACTTGCATTAGTACACTGTTTTATATTACAGTTAATTACTTGAAAACCATAATTAATAAACAATGTCCATACATTAGACAAGTTTCAAGAAGAATAAATTTTGTACAATAATACTATCATACATACACTTCTTTTTTTATGAACACAATATTTTTTAATAACAATTGGTATGGTAATAGTTTAAACTACATGTTCCAGTATCTTTTGTATAAATTTTGGTTACAAATTGTATCTTGTCTTCCACAAAGTAAAAAGTGGCCCAAATAAAGTTTGAATATGTCCTATAATCCTGCAACTGTATCTTCACAGTACATGCAAATTTTGAAAATGATTGTTTAAATACTCATTGACCTTTTCACAATTCCTTACATTTCTTTTAAGTTATAGAATAAATTTTAAACATTTCATATTGCTTTGAACTACAATAATGTTCTTCAGCATGTATAAATCAAATATCTGCAAATAAAAATATTTGTGCAATTTTTTTCTTTTATCTAATGATGGCCCATATCTGTGATTAAAAGAAACTTTAATTAATTAATGGAATTACTATATAAAATAGGAATAATAAGTTTATCTATGGTCCAGTGTCTTTAGTATTTGGTTACAAATTGTATCTTGTTTTCCACAATAAAGTAAAAAGTGTTCCGAATAAAGTTGTAAAGTGTCCTATAATCCTGCAAGTGTATCTTCATAGCACATACAATTTTTTAAAATTATTGTTTAAATACTCATTGACTTTTCCACAATTCCTTACATTTCCTTTAAGTTATAGAATAAGTTTTAAACATTTCATATTGCTTTGAACTACAATAATATTCTTCAGCATGTATAAATCAAATATCTGTAAATAAAAATATTTGTGCGATTTTTTTTCTTTTATCTAATGATGTCCCATATCTGTGATTAAAAGAAACTTTAATTAATTAATCGAATTACTATTTAAAATAGTAAATATTTATGTAATTTTATTCTTTTTATCTTCAATTTATCAAATTTAATATAAATTATGCATTTACTCATATGTACTATATGAATAAAAGTATCTTAACAAATTCCATTATGTTTATTTATTAAAAATAAAATAATATTAATACAAGTTTTAGAACACTTAAAGGTACATATCGAGAACTTAAACTTTACGAAAAATTGGACAAAATAATGTATATATATATATAATTATATATATATATATATATACATATAGTGACTATAATTATTATTATATATGATTTTTATAGTTTATTTCGAAGATACTTATATTATCTTGTAAGTTGAGGTTGCAGCGATGTGTTTCTGTTGATATTGTTGTTCAATATCTCTGTTGATATTGTTGTTTAATATCTCTGTTGATATTGTTGTTGGCCATATTGTTGACTTTGTTGTTGTGTCCTTGCAATGTAATCTAAAGACTTCTGAATCGCTTCAGGAATTGGTGGAGGAGTCGGTAAGTGAGCACCTTCTGCACGGAACCCTAGAGAAGAGAAAAAAATTAATAACAATAATATTTATAAAATAACAATGTAAATAATTAGTAGAAGAAATAGTTGATAAAATATGTGAATAAAAAAATATTTCAATATGAAAAATAATATTAATACTTTGTGGTGGATAACTTTGCTAAAATGGGAATATTCAAGATTTGTGAAGAAAATATTTTATTAATTGACAAAATGAAGAATTAGTAATATAAATATTTAATAAAACAGCAATATTAATAATTAGTAGAAGAAATACTTGATAAAATATGTATATAAATAATTAATAAAAAATAATATTAACAATTTGTGGTGGATAACTTTGCTAAAATGGGAATATTCTTGATTTGTGCAGGATTTTTTTCTATTATTTGACAAAATGAATAATTAGTGATATAAATATTTAACAAAATATAAATATTAATTCTTTGTAATAAAAATAGTTGATAATTATGTATATAAATAATTAATAATAAATAATATTAACAATTTGTACTGGATAACTTTGCTAAAATGTTAATATTTAAGATTTGTGAAGGATATTTCTTATTATTTGACAAAATAAAATTAGTAGTATAAATATAATATTATTGACAATATAAATGTTTTCAAATATATTATTAAAATGTTTTTTGAATCATTCAAATCGGATGCCCTGAAGATTGTGGGCTAAAACGTGGACAAAAAAAAACACTTTTCTGATAATTATAAAGAAACGGCTTGGCCATTCGTCGCGCAAAATTGACAAACACTAGCCCTTATCAAATTACATCGAGTGGCTTTTAAATTTTTTAAAATCGGTCCAGCCTTATTTTTAGAAAACGTCGACAAAATCTCAATAATTGGTTAACATACACACAAAAAATAAAAATACAATTTCTAGCATAAGAGGCAGTTCCTGCACATAAATCATATTTTATCTATCCCGTATAGTACGCTTTCTCGCTTAATGACGGTGTAAGTTTAAAAGATATTTCACAAAAACTAAATAAATGTACCGAAATTTGGGGTCATGACTCAAGATCTTCAACAGACCCCTGAATTTATATTGTTTATGTTTAAAAATTTATATCTCAAAAAGGGTTCAAGATAGAGAGTTGCTTGAAACGCAAAAAATGTGCAAAATTTTATAATCTACAACACTTATTAATAAACAAACACTAGAGAATCCATAGTTTAAACTAGTGGGGTGGGTGGCATCGTGCCTTAAGGCAAATTGCTGGAACTTTCCGTACCGTAACGAAATGTTCGAGGAATATTGAATGTTTTCAAATAGATTATTATAAATATTGTAACATTGTCTAATATTCATAACAATTATATAAACTGAATTGCAGAGTTGAAATTATTTGTTTAAAGTATATTAGAACTATAGTCAAAATTAAAACTAAAATCTGAATTATTTTCGATATACAAAAAATTAAAAAAAAAAAAAAATGATACCATTTTTTTTTTCCAAAATCAATTATTTTGTTAAGACAAGCAGAAAGTTCTTTGAATCAATTGAATCGGACGCTTAGTTCTCTCAAAAACTGCCATTTTTGTACATTTAGCTCCGTATCTTCAAAATAGCTGGGCTTTGCGAAAAACTAATTACCACTTCTCCCAATCATTACTAATTGAATGTTTTTTAGATCATTCAAATCGGATGCTCCGTTCTCTCAAAAACTCGATTTCTATTTTCTGCACTCTTTGCTCCTTATCTCCGTAACTGCTGGACCAGCCTTTGCCAAAAACTAATCAGCTCTTCTCCTTATTAATAGGAATCGAATGTTTTTTAAACCATTCAAATCGGTTGATCCGTACGCCCGAAAACGTAGGCGAAAATTTGTATCCATACATACATACACACACACACACACACACACACACATCCATTTTTTCTGAAGTATGCCAAAATGTTCAGAAACCTTCAAAACGTCGAGAAATGTAAAAATTTTCAATTCCGATTTTCGGCCCATTACAATAACTTACCCTACGGGAAGTTAATAAATATTTTACAAAAACTAAAAAAATGTACCTACAATTTGAGATCATTATACAATACTAGCACATACTCTTGAATTTACATTGATCGTTTTCAAAAATTTGTATCTCCAGAGCGGTTTAAGATATAAAGTTGCTTAAAATACAAAAAATATGCAAAATTTAATAATCTACAACATTGCCAAAAACAATCTATTAACTAGATTTTGAAATATTTTACAAAAACTAAAAAATTGTACCGCAAACCTAAAAATTTACACCTATCCCCTGCAACTCACCAATAGGTATAACCAATTGACATGGTTTAAACTTCAAAACAAGTCTGTTATCTTAAAATACCATTTAATAAAATTTTTTATTATTAAAGTGAAATTGTAATAAATCTTATAAAATTTCGACATCAAAAGTCAAACGATGATATTTTGCGTTGGAGCAAATACTCGTTTTTTGCGTAACGCAAAGGAGAGGTTAAATACTCGAATTAAATGGTAAATTGTAATGTAATTGTATAAACAAATGACGAAATTTATATGTACATTTGTTTATAAATTTATGTAGATGATGAAACTTGTTTTGGGGGAAAGAATTTGTTAATAAAATTTTAAGACATTTGCAACAAAGTAAAGGTTTGCACCGTACTTTCACGAAATTTATGCAATGTCGTAGAAATAATTTAGAATTTGTTTATTTGCAAAACATGTACAAAATTATATTGTTTATAAATCTTCTTAATATACTAGTATGATGAGGCAAAAAAAAATTCGAGATTTTTGCAAAAAACTAAAAATCTGTCCAAAGCATTTGTACTATTACAAATTTTGTTAAGGCTCTTATTTCCAAATTGGTGAAAGGCACAAATTTTATTTATATACCAAATTTGTGTAAAATTTAATTATCTTTTGTTGTTGCATGTTGCTTTTAATGAAATATGTGTTAAATTTATCAACAAATATTATTTTTTAAAAATAAATTTAATGCCCCAAACAAAATTTTGAAATATTTGTAAAAAACTAAAAACTTGCAAAGCTTATCTTGAGCGATTTATTAACTACTTTGAATGCACAATATTTAAAAAACTGTTAGTAGTACTAAAATTTTTTTTGTGCAAAAATATTCAAAATTTAATCATAAACAAAGTTTTCTCATAAACAGAAACAAAATTTTGAGTTATTCGCAAAAAACTAAAAACTTGCACTCCGCACTTTGCACCTAGACAACCGAGTAACTTCAAGGTCATGGACCTGCCTCGGGACACAACAATATATATATATATATATATATATATATATATATATATATATATATATAATTATTGAATTATATAATTATCTTACCATTTTCGTCGGCGATGTATCTGACTTCTATGGGGGTCCCGTCGGGGGCTGTGTAAGAGTAAGAGCCCTGCATCACTTGGGCCTCCGCCTCTGGATTACCCGCGTTTTTCAAATAACCTTGCTCTTGTGCCTGCTGTCCATCACCTGTCGAATATCTGAAAAAAAAAGAACTAGTTGTAAGTGAAATTATAAAGAAACTGCTTGGCAGAACATGGTGCGAAACTGATCAACTTGAGTCAAGTTAAATCCAATGGCTTTGTCAAAAGTAAGAAGCCCATACACATATTTCTATTTATTTTCTGTGCCAAACGATTCAAGATGACTTGAACCGTGGAGAAAGCACAAAATTAGTGACTCAAATTTTTAAAAATCTCACCCATATTGATAAGATCCATCAGGGTTGATTTCGTTATAGTATGAAGTTATAGGCACAAAAGGTCTCTGAGGTTGGTACTGCTGTTGCTGCTGATACTGCTGCCTCTGTTGCTGATACTGCTGCGGTTGGTAGCCTTGTCTCGGGTATTGGTTGTACTGTGGACGTGCGCATGCGCAACATGCCACTGCTGCCAATATTAAAAACTGAAAAAAAAAATGGCTAAGAATGAAGTTGTTTTAGGGAAAAAAGTTTAGTACGAAATAGTTTATAAAGAATGTGATTGCGATGAAGTTGTTTAGACAAAAAGTGTTAGCCGACAGGATAATTCATCATCTATACTGGTTCTACAGAATGATTCATCATCTATACTTGTCCTATAGAATAATTCACCATCTAGGCTTGTCCAACAGGATAATTTACCATCTAGACCAACAGGACTATTTATCATTTATACTTGTCCAACAGGACAATTTATCATATATACTAATCCAATAACATCATTTATCTAGGACAATCTATCATTTATCTTTTCCCCAGGGTGGTGTGTCTAATAGTCTAGGAGAATAAGGACGAGAATGGTTTCTTTCAGGAGGCATTTGGTTGAGACACTAAGGAGTTTAAGGAAACGTCTGGTGGTGACACCAGGAAAAATTCTTAGAGAAGAAAAAATTTGCCTGACAAGAAAGTTTTTAAAAGTCTAGGAAAAATCTACAAGGAGCACAAGGACGATAATGGTTTCTTTCAGCTGGCACATGGTGGAGTTGCTAAGAAATTTCAGTAAACATCCGGTAAAGACACCAGGAACGTCCAGGAAAAATTCTTTGAGAAGAACAAAATTGTATGACAAAGAAAGTTTTTGAAAGTCTAGTCTAAAAGAAGCACAAATACGAGAATGGTTTGTTTCAGATGGCACATGGTAGAAATTTCAGGAAACGTCTGGTGATAACACCAGGAATGCCTATGAAAAATTCTTAGAGAAGAAACAAATTATCTAGCAAGAAAGTTTTTGGAAGTCTAGAAGAAAGGACGAGTCTTTGGAAGTCTAAATCTACAAGGAGCACAAAGACGAGGATGGTTTCTTTCAAGAGGCATATGATGGCGACGCTAAGGAGTTTCAGGAAACGTCCGGTAGGAACACCAGGAATGACAAAGAAAAATTCTTTGAGAAGAATAAAATTGTCTAGCAAAAAAGTTTTTGGAGAAAAAATGTGTAGCAAATTCATTTAGGAAGAATTTGTTTGGGAAGAAATTGTGTAATGAGATAATTATTTAGAAAAAAAAAAGATAAATTGATAACAATTTTTTGAAAATAATTTTGTTGTGAACATTATAAATCATTGTAAATCAATTTATAATAATTTTTATCATCTTTTTGATAACGTATAATAAAAAATACATATTCAAAAAAAATTAACAAAATAATTAAAATAAAAAAAACTTGTAACTAACACAATAAAAATAAGTGACACACTAATATATATAATTAAATTAATTTCGTATTTAATTAATTTATATAATATATATATATATATATATATATATATATAGTAAATAAATTTATTTAATCTTCACGAAAAACACCAAAAAATTTACCGATTTCATTTCAACACAGATCGTCCGGAGCACTTTTTTACTCAAATAAATTTATTATAAACAAATATTTATTACAAACACAAAAAATAATAACAACAATTATTATTATTATTATTAATTTCTTTACAAAATCAAAAACAGTACTGTCCTTCTGCAAAAACGTGACTCCGTATTTATACTTTCTGTCAGAGCCCCCAGATTACTCATCGGTGATATAAAGACCTAAACGGGTGCCCCCTTCTCCAGAAAAATCATACATGCATATGGATTAGTTAATTATTTAATTAATTTAAATAATTATTTAATTAATTAGTTAATTGTTTAATTTATAATAAAAATCTTAAAGGAATCTTGTTGAAATCAACTGTCAGGATTGCGAAACAATATAGATAAGTAAATAAGTAAAAAAAAGAGTGCGCGTAAGGTTCACACGCGATTGAAGTAAAACTTATTAGCTACTGTACAAGATGGCATTTAAGTAAAAATAAATACATCATATAACAATTTTTAACAATGTTTTTTAGTAATATGGTAACACTCGTAATGCACACATTTATTATTGTCAACCATTACACACATTTATATAATGATAAATTATAAATTATATATTTATAATAGCATTAAAAATATGTAAAACAATAATGTAATTAAAGTCATACTTCAAATATGACATGATCGGTTTGTCATTGTAATTAGCATTTAGAAATGAACCTTCATTAGAGAAATTAAGTAATTGCTGATTAATAAATTCTATAATATTCGATCACATAGTGGATTATGTTAAACAACGCCTAAACAAACAAATTGTGTTTGAAGAACTTCATGTAATTAAAATTAACATACATTCATTGACTGATGGTATTATTTTCACTTTTTCGCTGGCGATATAATCTTATTCTTTGAACAGCTGTAATATCTGTTTTGCCTAAAAAATATTTACCATTTCAATAACTTCAAAAATTTATAGAAACTACGAATAATATAGAAATTATTACAATGAACTTATGTTTCATACACGGTGCAAATGCTGCATTTGTTTTATTATTTTCATTCTAATTATTTACGGGCAACAGGGTAAAATATTCTTGTGATTCAGGCATTTTTCATTATATCAAGATTTGTACCACGATGTAACTTTAAAATGTTTATTTATCTATGCCCATTGCCTTGTTGATATCGGTACGCAAACAACGTTGATGCCGGTACGCTACAACGACAGATCTCTATTCAAATACGCGATGACCAATCACAATCGACCCGTATAGGAATAACATCATCGAGAGCGAATGACGAATCATTGACACTCGACTATTATCTTATCTTATCGGCCGTAACGCATTTCCGTTGCATTTGTACGGATTTACACTCTGGTTGCCCCTAAAGAAGTTTTACTTAAAAAATGTTTAAAACAAAAGTTATGTAAAACTTAATTATCTAATAACTTTGATAACACATAAATAAAAAAATTAAAATAGACATTCAGATATTTTGAGACAATTCCCCATGGACCAAAATGCGTAATATGCGGGATAAGTGCAATGCGTATTAAGCGAGAATAAAGTACTATAATCTTAACAAAAATTAATAGTTTATAGTTTATTATGGTTAATTAGTAAATTTTATTGTATAACTATTTTAATAGTATAGAAAAAGTACTATAATCTTAACAAAAATTAATAGTTTATAGTTTATTATTGTTAATTAGTAAATTTTATTGTATAACTATTTTAATAGTATAGAATAAAATACTATAATCTTAACAAAAATTAATAGTTTATAGTTTATTATTGTTAATTAGTAAATTTTATTGTATAACTATTTTGTTTTAATACAAAAATATAAAAATATAAAAAATATTTTTTTTATATTTTATAAGGTAAGTTATAGTAATCGCAAAAAAATCGAATTTGAAAATTTTTATATATCTTTACGTTTCAGAGGTTTCTGAACATTTTGGGATACCTAAGAAAAAATGGATGTATGTGTGTGTGTGTGTGTGTGCGGACACAAATTATCGACGACGATTTCAGGAACACGGTTCAACTGATTTTAATTATTCAAAAAACATTCGATTGCTGTTGATAAAAAGACATGCTGATTAGTTTTTGGCATAGGCAGGTCTAGCCATTTCAAAGATACGGGGCAAAAAGTGCCACAAACGGTAACTCAGTTTTTAAGAGAACGGAGCGTCCTATTCTAATAATTCAACAATCATTTTACTTGTATTGACAAGATGAAGAACTGATTAAATTTTCATAAAGGCAGGTCTAGCGGTTTCGGAGATCTAGTGAAAAAATTAAATAAAAATGCCATTTCACGGTCAAAAATGATCATTAGACATATGCACATCAAATTATCAGATATTTTATAGAGATTTTAAAAATAAGTTTAAATTTTGTTTACATTCCTATGGGTTCCGTACTAATATTTATCAGTTAGACGGCGACGCGGCGCTTACGCGCTTCGATATTTCGTCTCTATGCAGTTCAAGCAGTACGATTGCTTTGAAAAAAAAGTTCAGAATTTCTAAAATATTTCAAAATAAATTTTTCTTCAAAAAGTCTTTTTTTTTAAAAAAAAAGTAAATTTTTGTCGAAAATTTATAGTTTCTCAAAACTCTAATTTTTCAGAGTAATTTTTTTTCAAAAATGTTAAACTTAAAAAAAAAAAAAATTTGGTACGGGAAGTTCTAGTGATTTGCCTTAAGGCACGATGCCATGCGTCCCACTAGTTATATTATTAATTTATGCAAAATTTTTGGGGTCATTTTTATCCAGGGGTCAAAATCGATGAATAATTATGATTACTAATAATTCCATAGAAATAAAATCAATAATTTGCATTTAATTAAACGTTGATTAATTATAATTCCGACACGTGCACTTGTAATTAACACTTGATACGGAACTCTTGGAATCGAAGTGAGGTCATTCACATAATACAGAGGATTATTTGAAGTAAAACTTCTTCAGAACACGGTGATATAAATGGACTATATAGAAGGCTGTCTGATTTTGTTAATTTTTTGTGCACTTGTTTAATGATTCTGTTGTAACATTTAAACCATTCGATTGATGTGAATGATGCATTAGACAAAATTGTTCAAAATTAAATTATCTATAACCTTTTCCAATAATAAAAGACTCTACGACAACTTGATATACTTTAAAATTGTAGTCGAATGTATATATTTCAGATGTTTGAAAATCATCACATTGTATCGTCAATTGACTTGTTTGTGCATTTATTTATTAATTCTCTTGTAACTTCTTAAACCATTCGATTAATATGAATGGCGTATTTGAAAAATTTGCACAAAAATAAATAATCCTCAACATTGCTTCCATACAATTTAATTCTACAAGAACTCGGTATACTCGGATTTTAAATTCTTAAAATCGGTTCAGGATTTTTGCGAGAACCAACAAATTAAAAAGAAACGGCTCGACTGATCGTCTCGCGAAACTAATCAACGCGAGTACTATTCGAGCAACATCAAATTGCTTTTAAATTTTTAAAATCGGTTCAGCCGTTTTTGAGAAAACGACGCTTAGGTACGTCACACACATACCTTCTCCAAAATTGCTGTCAAACGGTTCAGAATTACTTAAAACGTCGGGAAAATACAAAATTGGTATGTCGGATTTTCTGGTAAAAACATACTTATCCTTCAGAAAGTGTAATAAATAATTATAAGATTGGTAATGATAATAATAGAAAATACTTAATTCAATAAAAGTATACTTTGTTACGTTTATGCTACGTAATTGTTACACATTTAGTAATTTGGTTACATACTA